TTTTCCCTTACCCGAACGCAGAGGAATGTAAGCAATCACCAGGGCTTGGCTGACCAACTTAACCCCAGACGGACGAATCCGCCGGGGACCCTGGGCGAGCGAGAAGGGGGGATCTCAAGGCAGAGTGCTCACTGGTCTTCGATCTCCTCAAACGGCTGTCCAAGCTAGGAGAACTTTCCAAACCCTTGAATAGATTGGTAGACTGTAAAAAGGCTCGTTAACTGCAAAACATCTGTTCAAAACACAAAATTCTTCAAAAAACTAGCTTACATCCTTCTAAAAAATTGTCTCGACATGCATGGCTCAATCTCCATACTAGGCATATAGATCTGGCAGAATCAATCACGTATCTGCGTGCCATAAGTCACTAGTGGTGATAAGATGGGGCATCAATCACCAAGCGCGACGACAAACGCAAATCTAACGCACATATCCAGCAAAAGAAGACCACACAGTGCGCATGAAAGTAAAATTCATGGATTCCTTCAAATTTGCTCGAATCGTTGGTAAACTGACTTGCTCAAAAGTTCCAAAAATGTAGCAATCGTACAAACTGTTTCCACAGTTAGAAATTTGTGCAAGATTAGCGTATGTTCTTGTGAGTAGTTGAAATCTAGTGTTTAGAAGTCAACTATGTTCAAAGTCTGCATAACGTCTATGGTGCCTAGCTTTTTGCGAAATTCTAAAGAGTTTTTGCAAGAAGTTATCTCATTCGGGAGCCGACTAAGCCATCTGGCTGTGCGACAAACGAAAGAGTTGAAGGAATTTGAAAGAGTCCTGTTCCCTAGTTTGCGATATCCCAATGCAAAACCTCCTGTTCGGTTTCCACAAGGCCTGAATACCCAATATTTGCTTAGTCTCAGTCTAGTTTCCAAGCGGATAATGCGAAAACAAAAAATCAAATCATTGCAAATTCTTCTGTATTTTAGACTGCGTAGACCCAAAGCGGATAGTCTCATATTGTAAGTAGGCAAAGACTGAGGATAATCGGATCTAGGATAGCATCTGTAAAAAATTATTCTAGTGAACGCTTTCTGAACCTTCTCTAGCTTTTCCATATTCTTCTTCAAAAAAGGATTCCATACGGGGGACGCGTACTCCAGAAGTGGTAGAACATAAGTCTTGTACAAACGTACTAGGAGGTCTGCATCATTGCTGTGAATATTTCTTAGAATAACAAAGAGGACGGATAGGGCCTTTTTAGTGACTGAATCATACTGTAAAGAAAAACTGAGCTTATCGTCAACAAGAACGCCTAAATCTCTAGTGGCACTGCAATGCTCAAGATCTATTCCGTCGCACACGTACGTGTGAGGTGGACAGTTTCCTAGATGCATGACTTTCGATTTGAGAGCATTAACTGGAAGACCCCACTCTTTAGACCAAAGTACCATCTTGTTTATTGAAGAAGAAACCGCTTCAAATGCTATGTTCGCCTCTGCTTCTTTGTAACAAAAGTAAATTTTTATGTCATCTGCAAAAACCTGAATCTTGACACTGGGATGGTTTTCAAGAAGGCTGGTAATTCTGCAGTGTAAGTAAGGAAAAGGAGTGGTGACAGTATACCACCTTGGGGCACTCCGCTGCTGCAAGAAAAACGACTTGAAAAACTGTTCCCAACACGGGTAGTTATCCCTCGATCTTTTAGGTAAGATGCTAACCAAGCAAGCAACTGACCGCGTACGCCATAGTTTTCGAGTTTCAAAAGTAACTTAGAGTGTGAAACTCTGTCGAATGCTTTAGATAAATCGAAAAAGACAATGTCCACTGATTCACCTTTATTCATAGCGGTGACCCAGTCATAAAGCGAATCTGAGAGTAGTGCAGTGGTGGATCCACCAGGAAGGAAGCCGTTTTGAACTGTTGGAAAAATTTTGTTCTTCTCTAGCCATTCATACAAAGTCTCCTTTATAAGTTTTTCCAATATCTTTCCAGCGGGCGCAGTGATGCTGATTGGGCGAAAATTGGAAAGAGCATTGCTGTGCCCGTTTTTAGGTATGGCTGTCACAAGAGCTTCTTTCCAGATTTTTGGTACTTCTCCAAATAGTAAAGAGGCGTTGTAAATGAAGGTCAAAGGGTAAGCTAAAGCATGAGCACATCTACGGAAGATTATTTGTGGAATTCCATCATATGCGAGAGTCGTTGTTACTTTCAGTTTTCTTAGAATGTCATAAACTTTCGTGGGTTCAATGTACATATTTGGACAGGAGGAACTGATTCGTACAGTAGTACGACACGGAAAATCCTCATTTTCTTGAGTGCACAGAGAGTTCTCACTGAAAAAGCAAGCGAAGTAATTCGCAAGCGCTTCAGCTTTGTCTTTTTCGCTTATAAGTAAATGTCCTTCCTCATCTTCTAAGTTGAAAATCTTTTGTTGCCCTTTTGTTACATTTCTAAGAAATCCGTAAAGCTCTCTAAAGTTATATCTAGAAAGACGTCGTTCCCGATTTTCCAAGTATTTTTTGATGTGATGGTTAATATCTTTACAGACCTTTCTGTAGTAAACATTATGCAGGGGATCACGCAACTGTGAAAAAAGTCGAGATTTTTGTTCCAGTAAATTTCGAATGTGAACCGGGTAGTTCTGAGGTTGAGAAGGCGAGAAACGGAATGGGACATGTTCAGCGAAGATTACGTACAGTTTACTGCAGAAGCGTCTGTAAAGATCTTCAACATTTTCGTAATTTTCAAAAAGACGGAACCAGTTGATTTCTTCGAGAGCTTTATTGATTTCTAAGAAATCTGCTTTCCGGAAGTCCGGGTACGGAATGAAAGTTTTTCTGCTAACATTGAATTTCGCGTTAAATTGAATTACATTATGATCCGACGTGCCAAAATGCGATATGAGTGCTTCTCAGTCCACTGATCACTGCAACGAAATTTGGGAGGTCTTTGAGATTTTGTCCTGGGTTAGCAAGCGTGCTCGTGTTTGAGCTTGAACCGTTCTTGCTACTTTTATAAATCTAAAACATTTTGAAATGAATCTTCTTATTTATTTATTTTGCTACTTATTTCAATTGCCAGTCGTCACCACCAAAGCTTGCAAAGTGCTTCCATTAATGAAAATCCACGAAAGTATCTAGTAGAATTGCACTCTTCATTGCAGGAGGCTCCAAGGTAGAGTCAAAGTCTGTCACTTCTCACTTTGCGTCCATCTCTGCGGGGGATTCTATCACTAATAATTCTTGTTATTACTGAGTGGTTAAATTGACTTTTGAGGGAAATTTTCTTCAGTTCTGTACAAACTAGGATGCCTCTTTTCTCGATTTTGTAAAGTTTAAATGTTTCAAGTTATTAGGGTGTCTCTAATTTTTTACCATTTTTACCCTAAACATCAGCATTTCTCGAAAACTGGAGCACCTACAAAGATCCGAATACATGATCGTACTTCTGTATGTATGAGCCATATAATCACATGTGTGGGAGAAGTCTAGGACGTCTAGCGGCGGAGTTTGCCATTTTGACTCAGTCATTTTTTCTTTGTTTCTAGCCATGGAAAAAATTGGGAAATTGTATAGTTATATGTGCGATGTGTCAAGCATATGCTAGGATAAATGGGGAATTTTTTGAACATTTTGAGTCGGAGATACGATTTTTGAAAGAAAAGTTCGTCTTTGACTACTATTACATTTCAGCTCAAAACGTCACGTGGAATTTGGCTTGGGCAGCCTTTCAATAGCCATCTTGTAAAGCTTGCTTTGCCCTGTGGAATGGTTACTTAAGCCACATCAGATGAAGGAAAGGTATTAGAAGACAGCAGTTGCAGTAAAAACGGTAAAAAATTGTGAGACACCCTAATAGTATGAGGCTTTGAAGAGCCTGTATATTTTTGTATGTACAAATGTCCATGTTTTTAGATTTTGACTATTTTGATCTTTTTCGATCAGGAAAAGGAACGTTTCAAGTGCGTTCCTTTTGTGCTTCTACTTATTGAGGTTCATGCATCATTGAAAGTTCAAATTTTCCACTGAGTTGGCTCACGTTCTATTCCCCCATATACTTCTGTCAAGGTGAACTTAGAGTCTCCCGCTTTTCAACCCACTCCTATGTGAGTGCAGATGATTTAATTGTCCTTAGCAAGATGAGAAGCATCAAGCAGAGCGCGCGCTGCGTTGTGCCGCAGGATACCCTGAAGAGCTGGCCGGGACACACAGTTTAGTTATAGAAAGCTGATACGTATATCTACCAATAGCCCTGCAACAAGCTTTCTGTGTCAACAATTCAGCATGTGATTTTTTTGCGCTGGGGCCATCGCAGCTAGATCTGATTTTTCTCAAACTACCGTCATTTTTCGTCAATGAGAATTGACTTGCCTAGCATTATTTCGTCTTTAGCAATTTCTAGAAGCCCTACAAATTCTCTATCAAATAATCCTTTTCACAGACAATTGGCGCTTGGACGCAGCCATCGAAAACGACCAAGATGTTCGTATACGCCTGAAGAGAAGGACAGAGACAAATAGAAACTTTTGTGTTGGCACCTGCTCGCGACATGAAGAGGATATAGTAAAGTATCCAGGTATTTCTACATTATTGCCGTAAACGGGAGATACTATTAAGGCAGAGGTTGTGAACTTAGCACATCATACACTCTATCTCACTGATTGAGCATGTAAGTTTCCAAAGTTACAAAAAATTAATTCCTTTATAACACCATCATAAGTGCCATACTTGTATGTTACGTCTTTGCTTTCATACGCAAATAGTGCTCTACAGAAACTTCTCAAAGTATGTTGGGACAAATGTTAGAGCGAACATTACGCAAGTTTATTTAGAGCGTCGCTACACATGTTTCAAGTGCTATTTGGCAAAAACCAAGAAATACCTGCGGAATACCTAAATGTCTAAAGGTATTCTGTTCCACAAAGTATCTCTCACAAACGAACTAACGTTAAGGTGTGTTCTAAAACTTCACCACCTATTAATAACTATGTCTCGCTTGTATAACGGATGTGAAATTTTTTGATGCAGCTTGCAAATTGCAGGAATTGAACATCAGATTGAACGCACTTTTATTTCTCATCTAATGCAAAGCCATTTTCTTGCATACAAACGATCGCATATGAAGGCCACAGTAAAGGTTAGACCATTTCTGATATGCTGCAAGTGCAGTTTCAGTGATATTGGTAGCAAAAGGATCGGGATACATCTGAAATGATCATTAAAAATCAAAAAAGAAAAAGATACTCACAGAAAGTTTGGTCAAAGTGGCCTTTTCACACACGTATACCACTTTTAGGCTCGTTGCACTTACATCCATGCTGGAGAGGGGAGAGGAGATGGATCCCCAGGGGAACGATCCCCTTCGTTGAACCCCGCTATGCTAGAGGGGGGGGGAGCGATCCCCTCCCTTGCACCTACAGCGGGGATGGTGTCATTGCGGTAGTCGCATCTAGCTCACGGCTACTAGAAGACCTCACCAAAAAAGCTATTTCTAGCCAATTTTTTGTGTACTAGAATGCTTTTGGAATGAAATGTACAAGAGCAGTGGTTTAGAGTGCCTTTGTTCCTTTTCGCCGTCTTTCCTTTTTTCTTTCACTCCCTCCACTGTATGTATCTCTATCTGTTCGCTCTTTTCTTCTTTTACCTATTACTGGTTCCAAGGCTTGTTATACTCGTTACGTGCTGTCGTGGTAATAATGTTAATTTCTGAAGTGATGTGATATTGCAGTTCATGTTATGGTTTCCTAGCAATATGTTAAGGCTTATTTCTCCCATAGAAGAATATTGATGTGTGATTGATGATTGTGATTGTGTAGTTTAGTAGTTTCTATGGTTTTTTCCACGTTTGCAAGCCACTTCTTCGCGTCCTTTTTCGCTGCAAATCGCATTCGATTTCAGGGTATCGATCGGGCGAACCCCAGTGAGGATCCCTTCCCTCCCCTCCCCGTTTGCACGAATGTAGCTCATCCACGCAGGGGAGGGGATCGACATCCCCTGCAATGGAGTAGGGGTTCGATGGTGTAGATCTAGCTAGAGATATGCGGATAGTCTGGTTCTGATCAGTTATTACCAAGCATTTCGTGCAATTTGATGGAGGATTTTCTTTGAAAGCCTGATTCTTCTCTCAGCGACCTGTAGCTTGCAATTTGTCTTTCTCTTCTATATTCGCCTCTTGAGAAGGAGTCCGAGCAATAATAGCTGCCAATTTCGATTATTTGTAGGAGTTCTTGATCATTCAAAAAATTTGCGCATTTTTCATATAACATAATAGTTTTAACTATATAGGCTAAGTAAACACATTGCAACTTTCATATTTCATGACATGTTGCCTTTATTTTGTTATTTTAACATAAGCTGCCTTGAAAAAATCTAGAAAGTAGCCGATTTGCCTATTTTTGAGTTGACCCTGGGGTTCCCCTCGTGCATAGCAGTGATGGCCGCTAGGGATCATTCCCTTGGGGGAATGGACGGTACGTCGCTAATAGCTACAGAAGAGCTGACACGATTTGCAGCTTCTGTTATGTGTAGAAATGCTTGTTTGAATGTCCGCGGCACCCTCCCCCTTTTCGGCAGCATAACATCTTCTATCCATTCATTGCAGAAACATCATAACTTCTAATGCTGAACACTTTTACGCTGAATTGGGCAGCATTAGCGAAAGTGAGCAACATTCATGAAAACAGCAGGAATATATTGTGCGTAGGAACTTTTTTGGTGCGCCGAGCGCAAGCACGGCAGACGGCATTCCGCAGCGATTAAAGTATTGCTGATAACTCGTTGGAGGCGAGTAGCTACCAAAAGATGAGAAAAGAGGAATAATTACAAAAAAGCGGAAGCGAAATGATTTCCCCGTTTGATTCTCCCTTCTGCATAAAAGGGCTCCCTTCCCCTGTTAACAGGGGATCCCCTCCCCGGTATTGTCTTTGTGCATACGGGGGTTCGCGTGGGGAAGGGAGGGGAGCCCCAGCGGGGATCATTTCAATGGTTAAGCGCACATCTCCTCCCATGGGGATGTACGTGCATACGGGCCTTAAAAGCATTGAACGGCAGTTGCAAGTCTGTTGTCCTCATCTGTAAATCGCTTTAGGACGAGGAGTTACAACCAGGGTTGAGCAAGAGGTCAGGCACAAGTCCTTCAAAAACGGCCCCCCTCCCCCTGCGAAAGCCCCTAAACGACCCTCCGCTTCACCTTCAAGTCCTTAGGGTGTTATATTTTGAAGAAGACCAGCCTTCACTGCAGGTTTCTATTTTGAAATCTGTAAGTCCGACTTTCTGCGATTGCACAACCACACGCAACTTGACGGAAAGTTTTAGATCTGGATAGTCCTCTTTTCAGAGCTATATTTTTCACAGGGGTGGAGTGTTTGGCTTCAAATTCTCAATATAGCAAGAAGAGGCTTTGCGCTCAATACTCATATCAAAAAAAAGAAGCGATTTTTGAATGTTGAAGGCAAGTTAAGAGGGTCAGGCGCAACCCCTCAAAAGCTCAGGCGGACTGACCTTTTGAGGGGTTGTGCCTGGTCCTATTAACTTTATTTCCGAAAAAGCTTTTCTATCCAAGTTTTATGTGATTCGCTAGCTCAATCCTCGAAGATTCCACAATAAGTGTTTGAGCTTGATTTGACTTGTTTCAACCTTGTGCTAATCCGAGAAGTTGAAGCACTTAACGCCGTGAAAAACGCGCCGATTGAAATTTTGGAGCCTTCTTACTTCACTGTTTGGAAGGCGATATGAAGCCCGATTTGTATAGACTTGTAGAGAACATTACTTTATTATGAGTATACAAAAGCTGACTTTTCTCACTTCTGAAACCAATGATCACGTTAATCACGCTTTTTAGGCGTTGAGAAACACTAGAAACTGCAGTAGGTAATGGTTTGTAGAGCGCATAGAGGTAATTTGACATGCTGATTATGGAAATGATACCCATTTCACGCAGCAAGCTTCCTTGTTTACCTCATATGTCAAGGTAAAAGAGAAGAAAATTTGAATTTTGGCTGAAACTTCCACTGTGAAAACAATCAGTATGCTGTTTATGACCGTCATTCCTTCATGTGATATATCCCCGGACCAGCGCCTTTCTCCTTCACCTTCAAAGTATCTCCCCAACTTCATAAATTCGATTTTTAATTACGACCCCCCTCCTCTCAATCTTACCCTCAATACGATCCCCCAGGTCGGGCGCGCCTGACCCCACGCTCAACCTTGGTTACAACCTGATGGAGCAAAAACGAACGCATAAGTGGGATAAGAATGGTCATAACCACTGAGCGTGGGGCAGTCGTGCCCCCTAGTCGTATTGGGAGTAAGACCGAGGAGGAGGAGGAGGAGGAGGGGGGGTGGGGGGGGGGGGGAGTAATTCATCAAGAATTGTTCGTTTAAATTGAGGAAGTATTATGATTGAGTAAAGTGAAAAAAATAGTGCTAGAACGGTGAATATCACAACTTCACCGAAATGAAGGAATGCTGTCTTTAACAGCGCGAGTAACACTATTAAGCGTCAGTCAGTTTTCAATCCTTCACCTCTTACCTGACACATACGGTAAGGTCACTAAAAGGCTTGCGGTGTTTACTGGGTGTGAATCACGTAACTAGCATGTCAGATTACATCTACGAGCTCTACAAACCATTACCTATCACATTTCTACTGTTTCTCAACGTGTAAAAGCGCGATTCTAAATATGATTAACTTGGTTCCAAGGATGAAAGAAGTCAGCTTATTTAACTTATAAGAATAAAGAAATACTCCTCATTAGTCTATGCAAAGAACTAGACTCCATATCGCCCTCAATTAGTGGGTAAAGAAATGCTGATTAAATTTCAATTACCGTGTTTATTACCTTGAGCTTCAGCTCCACGGATCACCACAAAGCCGAAACAAGTCGCAGTAAGCACAAACAACTATAATAGATTCTTTGAGGTATGCGCTAGCGAAATACATGAAATTAGGGTGAAAAAGCTTCTTCGGAGATAAACTTAATGGGGCCAGGCACAAACCCTTGAAAGGTCAGGCTGCTTGAGCTTCTGTATCCCTGTGCCGGACCCCCTTAACTTCTCTTCAAAAACCAAAATTCGCTCCAAGTCCAACTGCACGGCTATAAATAAGTGCTAACTTTTTCGCGTCTCTCGTTTGTTTCTGGTTCTTCAGCTGTTGGATTGTGCCGATGTGGTGGAGATAGAGCGTTTGGGAGAGCGGATTGCAAACACTTCGTTCTCATAGGCTTTGAAGAAGGCGGAGACTGGAAACGTTAACCTAATAAGTCTTTGTATCAATCTGGTCTCCGCTATAACATCTACCAAAGATTATGCAAGAACTCGCTCCATTTTTGGTACGAGTATTGAGCTCCTAGCCTCTTCTTGCTACGATTAAAATGTGGTGTCAGCCCCCCCCCCCCTGAGGAAATTATCGCTCTTTCAACAAGCCTATTCAGATCAAAATCCACCGTCAAATTTTGTGTGCTTGTTATGTAAAGTCACAGAAAATTGGCGTACAGACATCCAAAATCCAAAAATTTTCTAGGAGAGGATCACGTCCTCCAGAATGTCACACTCAATGTTTCGGAGGTAAGGAGGAAGAAGAAGGGGTCATTTGGGGCTTTCAACGGGGGGCGGGGACGGGGGGGGGGGGGAGGGAGGGTCGTTTTCGAAAGACTTGTGCCTGACCTCTTGCTCATCTCTGGTCGTAACTCACTAGTCAGATGGAGTAGTGGTAATTAGCAGAGCACTTTTTGCGATCTTGCGATAAATACTTATAGATCAAAATATGCATATCTGTCTTATGTAAAAGCTAGAAGATTCCAATGACCTATTTATATTCTATTTTTTCATTCCATTTTTTTGCTCCAACAAAGGTTCACAACTCCTTGTTCAGAAAGTTCTTCACATAGAAAACACAGACATGGAATGCATTTCACGAGCATCAAAACGGTATAGGTAGATTTCGATTAGAAAGGCCACGTCGATTGAAAAGGCTTTAGTACCATGGCTTTCCATAATAGTATGTGATATAAATTATAGCGATGACATTGGAATTTGGAAGTGTTTTATTAGCGAAATTATTCTAGAAAAAAGCGGTTGAGCCTTTAAGTTTGAGATTTTGCACAGGAGAGCGAGTACGAAAGTTGCTGCAATTTCTTCTAATGAAGGTGCGTGGCCACCTTCATCAGAAGAAATCGCAGCAACTGTCGTTAGCCACGCATTTCGAAAATTTTTTTATTATGCTCTCTCAGAATTTTTGAGAGCCCATGACCCCGTAATTTCAGAAAAAGGGGCGTGACATTAGCACCGAAAAATTTTTCACTAAGACTAGAATGAATTCTAAGAAACTTAAAACATTATTAGAAGTGTTAGTATGTTAGTAAGCCGACCGAGGTTAGTAGATGTTTATTGGTTAGTGGCGGCCTAACGTTTCGACCTTCGTCTTCATCAGAGGCCTAAAGTGGTAAGAGATTTAGATATCATGCCTTACCCCACCAAAAACCTCCTCCATCTCCTAGCCAGCCTCGACTTTACCCCCGAATGTCACAAACGAAAATACGCAAGTACGTGGAAGACGAACCAACCTCCTCCGCCGCTGCCGCTCAGATGGATATTGAATGCGGCCGTCCTCAAGTGCCACTAGTATGGAATACAGTGTATACCATATTGACATTAATCAGTGGCATTCTTCAACTCACACAACTCCATAAAAGGCATAAAGTCATTTGTGATTGACGCGCACTCATTTCGGCTGTTCATGCATGGATTTCTTGCAAAAATCCAGAATGCCTCGAGAGCTTTTCTGCTAGCAGTATCGTATTCGTATGCCAGTATAGTACATCTAACTTCGAAGTCTTTACCACAATGGAATTCAACCCTATGTTTATCAAGCGGTGTGGTAAGACTTCCCCGCCTCTTGCTGCAAGATGTTCTTTCATTCTTACCCAAAGTGGTCTCCCAGTCTCTCCGATATAAGTGGCGCTGCACTCGATACATTCAATCTCATAGATGACACCAGTCTTACCGCAGTCACCAACTTTACCGGATGGACAAACTACACAGTCTTGGATTCTGCAGTAGCTGTCGTATAGTCTCTTACGAACCAGCCGCTTCCTGATGTTGTCACTAGGGATATCGACTAAGACTAATGCATTGACCGAGCGAACTTGAAAGACGATGTCGTTTTAGTCGATATTCCTAGTGACAACATCAGGAAGCGGCTGGTTCGTAAGAGACTATACGACAGCTACTGCAGAATCCAAGACTGTATAGTTTGTCCATCCGGTAAAGTTGGTGACTGCGGTAAGACTGGTGTCATCTATGAGATTGAATGTATCGAGTGCAGCGCCACTTATATTGGAGAGACTGGGAGACCACTTTGGGTAAGAATGAAAGAACATCTTGTAGCAAGAGGCGGGGAAGTCTTACCACACCGCTTGGTAAACATAGGGTTGAATTCCATTGTGCTAAAGACTTTGAAGTTAGATGTACTACACTGGCATACGAATACGATACTGCTAGCAGAAAAGCTCTCGAGGCATTCTGGATTTTTGCAAGAAATCCATGCATGAACAGCCGAAATGAGTGCGCGTCAATCACAAATGACTTTATGCCTTTTATGGAGTTGTGTGAGTTGAAGAATGCCACTGATTAATGTCAATATGGTATACACTGTATTCCATACTAGTGGCACTTGAGAACGGCCGCATTCAATATCCATCTGAGCGGCAGCGGCGGAGGAGGTTGGTTCGTCTTCCACGTACTTGCGTATTTTCGTTTGTGACATTCGGGGGTAAAGTCGAGGCTGGCTAGGAGATGGAGGAGGTTTTTGGCGGGGTAGGGCATAATATCTAAATCTCTTACCACTTTAGGCCTCTGATGAAGACGAACACGTCGAAACGTTAGGTCGCCACTAACCAATAAACATCTACTAACCTCGGTCGGCTTACTAACATACTAACACTTCAACTAAATGCCGAGGTTTACGAAGGAGGAAACTTGGAAGCTAAAAAAATTATTTCAACTATTCACAAGTATAAGGAAGTTGCCTGCACATTTTTATATGTGGTAGGAGCATATTTCAACTCAAATTTGAAGTTTTTGTTTAACTCTTAAGAAAGACTTTTGTATGAGTTGAATAGGATAAACAGACAATTCAAAGCCGACCAGCTAGTTATCACTTTGAATGAAGGAGCAGAGTAACATTTTTTCAGGCTACGGTAAATCAGCATTTCTCACATAACTGAGATTTTGAGATTGTTGATAATTCTAATTATGAACGCCCAGAAACGCACGCTCAATACTTCTATGTAAAAATGTCAGTGACATAGTTTGCAGGGTTGAGCGAAAAGCAAAGCTTTGCAGATGTTTCTATAATTATGAACGCCCAAGAACGCATATGACGCTCAATACTTTCTAAGAATGACACCGAACAATTTTGTGCATATACACTGTTTGCGGCTACATCCTTCCTCGGCGCTACCAAATTGCTCGACTTTCATCAAACCTCGAAATACGGGGTATGATTTTGAATCGCAATTTTTAGAAGACATACCACTACGCAGTGTCTGTTGGATTCGATCCCTTCCTTTACTGGGTGTCTTGGTGTCCATGCTAGAAAGTCAACCTTTGTGCCGTCAGTCCACATCCAGCTATCTGTCCAATTGCTATCCAAATAAGGTGATTGTACCAAACCTATCCAAGTCGCCTGTTCACAACAAGTAGAAAGACTTATACCCGATTTTGCCAACTCTGAATTACAAGTCATAGCACTCAATATTCGACTAAAACGGAAATTACCAGCTACGAAAAGATTTTCTTTCCAGCTGTGAATTGAAGTCAGGTGTCCTCCAACAGTAATACATAGTTGTTCGGCAGTATTGAAGGTTGCCGAGAAGAAATTCTGCAAATTCATAACAATCAACATCTTAAGACTGCCAGCTAAGAGAATGTATTAGAAATATGTCGCGTGCTGGAAAGTCCGTTTTCGAGCTGAACTCACCTGCCTGCGTGACAAAAGCAAACGCATAAACTATTCAAGAAAGCGCAAGAACCATTTGAGAAATTCAAGAGCGAGTTCAAAAGGTAAAGCTTAGCTTCAGGTTTGGATTTTCCTGGAAGACTTTATGAAGCTCAACTCGAAAAATGTCTACTGCATGACGGTGACAGTGAGTTCGCAGTATGTCGAGACAGTGACACAAGCTGGTATACCCAGCTCAGCTCGCTTATTGTCGACATCATGGAAGAGTTCATAATACTGTCTTACCAGCCATTGATATACGATTCATGAAGGCGCTAACCAAGTCAAAAATATGTTAAGTAATCTTTGGCAAGCCAGATTGTTGCGTACCAAAAATACAAAGCTTATGCAAATTATGGATCACTTGTATTTGTATAACTCATCTGGATCACTTTGAAAAAATTTGCAACTTTTCAGGAGGAGAGTCTGCAGGGATTCGGGTTGCCCATGCTCATGCTCCAGGGGACCCATTTTCTCACTTGAAATTTGCGAAAAAAAATCGGTAAAGACAAAAGCAACCAATAACTCTAATAAAGTCTCAATCGCACTTATCGTTACTTTAAAAGTGTAAAGACTGCAATTGCAAAGCTACTTCAGGTCTTCACTTGAGATTTATATGCAGGATGTCAGAAAAAAAATGGCACCACTGTTTGATCGACTGTCTCCCTCTGATACTGATGTCTTTCGCGGTAGACGGTCAAGAGGAAAACCAAAAACCAAAAATGCGTTAGGTGATGTCTATCTGGCAATACAAATCGCGCCGCTTGACATACCCTCGTTTTTCGCCACCTTAAGAACCATTTTGTAGAGCTGGCTTTGACGTTTTACACTACGAAATATGTCACAAATCTCTTTTCGCTTCCATAGGACTACAGTAAGAGTTTCCAGCTTAGTAGCATTAAAATAAACCAGCCCTCAGACCTGCAATTTGTGGAGTTCTAGGAAAACCTGCAAGGATTACGGTAGGGAATTCCGGCGAGATTGGCATCTTAGCAAACCAGCTCCGATTCCTATCTGGAACATTTTTTGTGGACTCTAGATGGACCTGTACAAAGCTGAGCTAACGATAAAAATTGTATAGGTTTGCAAAGCGTTTTAGATGACGTGGTCAAGTTATTGACATTAGAAACACTATTTTCAGGTGATGAGGTAACCTAAGATTCACGATAACAATGTTCTCGTGAATGCAACGTTTGTATCCAAAATTAGCGTGACCCGATAAAAAAAATTCCAGTTTTTTGAAGTCTGCATAGTGGGCGAAGTTCAGTTTTCAATGGTAATCTTTGCAAAGCTCTTGCAATACTACTGTAACGCAGAGCAATCAATGTTTCGCTTCATACTGTGAGCCTAAGTTGAAGCTGTGCAACCTCTATTTAAAAGTCGTGAAGGACACAGGGCATCAAAGAGTATGAAACACTGGGGACATTTTCTAAGAGAGATACATGAACGGCCAAACAATGGGGCATTTTTTTAAAAACACCTTGTACATTTGATATGCTTACAGGGTGCATGCAGAAAAGTCAACTTCGTATATTTTGCTAAAGCGGTGATGAATGCTGAACAACTGCAGTTCTTATTCTTATAAACTTTTTTTTTTCGAAAAATTCACAAGTATGGCCATATTAATGCTTTTCGAAAGCATCGTTATTGCAATTTTGCTTTTGTCGCCGCGCCTTTTTCAAAGCACTCCGCAGATAAAAAAGTTTGTTTTGTTTCTTTGAGGTTAGCATTCATCGCTGAATTCCTCAGATAGATCGGCGCAAAAGTTTGTCAATTTCAATCCACTCGCAAATATGTTAGTGTCTACAGATAAATACTTCAAGCAGTAGTCAATGCAGTTTTCCGCTTTCCAGCAGCAATTACGGATACGATTTTTCTGATCAGCAAAGACTTAGTCGTCGAAATTTGCAACTCTTCATATTTAGAATGTCTAATCGCTAATTTTCAAGTTTTCATATGAGACTTTCGGGAGCTGTTAATTAGCCATCAGATAGCGCCAATCTTTTTAAGTTTTCACATCTTTTCCCAGCTTTCAATTTGAAATTCCTCGAATATCGTCAGCTTATCGCATGATACATACTTCTATCTGATACTGCAAAATCCAGATTCTTTAGGTACCAAAGCTACATAGGTACAAAAGGCTGATGCTATTACTCATCTTACAAAGTGAATGAGGGATGATTGCTTCAAAATTTGGAGATTTTGAAACTTAATATACGACAGTGCTGACTTTTGAAATTGAAAATTACCACGATTTTCCTGCAAATTTCGTATGTCTCACAAAGAAAAATCGGCTGGTAGAAAACGACAGAGAAGAAAGTTGTTTAGTGGGTACCTAAACTGTCCACTACTTCAAGTTTTACGAGGTCTGATTATACTTGATATGAAATTTTGTCATTTCATTTCATTTCAATTCATTTGTATGCTCAAGGCGTTCCATAAGAAAAAAATTTTGGAAATTTTTTTTCTTTGAAGAAAATTTGAAAGACCTGCCGCAGAATGCAAAATGCCTTAAATTGCAAAAGGATTGCTTTAACTTTAGTTATCGAAGCATCTTCAAATTCCCAAATGAAAATTTTGAAAATTAGCAAAACTTAGACTTGTTAAAATGGAAAGTTGTAACTTTCAAGCATTAAGTTAGAGCACTTGTTCATGTATCACATTAAGAACATGGCAGCTGAAAAAAGGAAGAATTCTGTTTTAGAGACTGCTTAAGTTGTTTGCCTACCTTTGATGTACCGGATTAGCGGCTTGTTCAGAAAGGTGGCAAATCTCTGCCCCGACCTAAGGCATCTCATCCCGAAAAGCCACTTCGGCCGTCGTAAGAAGTTTACATACACATCGCGGTAAATGTTGCAAATGTATCATTTCATCTCATCACAGAATTGGCCACAAACCTTATAGCAAGCACCCGTTTCGTTGTAATAAGTCCATCCACTTTCGCAAGGGTGAGCTGAAAAAAAACTTTACTAACAATAAGATCCAAAATTCTGTAGTCAAGCCGTTCAAGCGGTCACAAATGGCTAAGACTGTTTGATCAGAGTCCCCGACAGTATTGTACGGTATATCCACAAATATGTACATGTTTGCAAATTTTAGCGATCAAATAGACAAGAAATCCGGTCACAATACTCTGAAAGCCTAGCACAGTCACTTTCGATATCTTCATATAAATTCAAAAGTATGTCTTATTATTCGTAAGCTGTTCCAATTTAAAGGCCGAATCTTCTAAAGTGTGTCAATTGTAGTTCATGGCCATTGAAACCGTTTCCTAACAGAAGTTTGTCAAAGAATGATGAGTGTCGCGCAAGGAAAAAAGGAATACATTTTTTTCAAATGATTCTTGATGTTTGCATGAAAAGCATTCTCTCGACTGTCTGAAATTCATAGTCTCAATTAAGCTTCTTGCTCTTTATGGGTTTGTCGCAAAGATTTCAGTTAACACGTTGACGACAAGCCGAAATTTTCATGTCTGTCCCTGTGGACAAAATGTTTTCATGTTTCGGGCCTGGTTGCATGTATATCGTCCCCTCTACAGTTGCTGCTACCCTTGTGTTGCGTCTCACGCCCGCCAGGTGTGGCTAACATGTTGGCAACGTGGCAACAATATGTTTGCAACATGCCACATGTTGGCAGGATATTTTGGCCACGCCAACTTGTTGCAGCATGTTGCAAACATGTTGTTGCCACGTTGCCAACGTGTGAGCCACACATGGCAAGTGAGAGACGCAGACCAAGGGTAGCAGCAACTGAGGAGGGACGATACATGCATTCACGCATGAAGTACAGTCGAGTAGATTTTCCGCTTAATATGGTGTGCTTGCACAGAAGGTGAAATGCGGTTAAATTTGCGCGCTCAGACAATCGACGGGACCCCTCCGCCGGACCCTCGGAAACTGCCAGAGTCGCGCCGGACCCAGTTGACCAATGAGAGAAGGGCAAATGGGCGGTCCATCGCGGTGGCATCACTGGCAGGCAAATGGGAGGCTTCTCCGGCCCTGCTGCAAAGGTCCGCCATTTCTCCGGCGCGACTCTGCCAGATTTGACGGACTCCGCGCCGCAGAGATCTGCGCGGCGCGTGTCCGCCAAATTTGGAAGAGACGCGCCGGAGAAAATGGGAGGGGTCCGGAGCAGAAATGGGAGGCCTCCGGAGCAGAAAATGGGAGGTATCCGGAGCAGAAAATGGGGGGTATCCGGAGCAGAAAATGGGGGGTATCCGGAGCAGAAGATGGGAGGTATCCGGAGCAGAAAATGGGGGGTATCCGGAGCAGGCTGCGTATCGATTTGGCGCGTAGCAAGCAAACGTCTAACTCCACGGTGATGAGTCCTCTGTTTACGCTCTTTGTCCATATTTTAGTCGCCGTTTATTTGATTCTGTTGTTTTTGCGCGTTTCTTTACCGTTTTTTCCTTTTCCGCGTTGCTCTTCGTCGCGTTGGCGTTTATGTTGCTGTAAGTTCCTCGTTTTCAGGTTTATGTTTGAAATTTTCGTGCGGTTGCACTCAATCACCTTCAGTGTTTGGCTCTTTCCGACTTGCTGAGACATCGTAGACTATTGATGGAGTGGTTTTTGTGATTAACTCTGGATTTTCGAAACAATGAGGTTAGTTGCGCAACTATCTAGTGTTGTTGTGATGAAAGTATCGTCTAAATAATCCGTTTATTGCTATAGTGTGGACCCCGGTCAGGTTCCCATAGGTACCTCCGCGGCGCGCCCGCAGCGCATGCCTTCAGTGCGCTTTTCGTTTCGGCTCTGAAGGGATTTCTTTCAATTTCCTCTTTCAAGTGTGTTTGTTCTCTTCTGTAATCTCTACTTTAGATGTAAACGACACACGTCAACTGCTGGTGATGGATTTTTACGAGTCTTGACAGTCTTGCAAGCATTTGTTTCGAAAATCTTGTTTTTTTCTCAATAGTGAAGATTTCGGTGTAGTTCAGAGACATCTCTCCAAAGGTTGTTCAGAATAAGTGTATATGCAGTTGAATTTGTGGAGTGTAGATGCTTCTAGCCTTTTGTTACACCATCAGAGCTTTGCAATCGTGCTCTTGAGCTCAAACTTTCTGGGTTTTTTTATGACCAGAAGGAAGACTTTTCAGAATTGTTCTTCGACTTTTCCTGTTACTTCTATCATCCATCGCTGGTAGCGTCATACACTACTAGCGATGGATAATAGAAGATTCCAGTTATCTATGAGATTGACTGGAATCTGAGCGCTAGTAGTAGAAGTTGTGAAGGTTCTCCTATTGCCTTGGCTTTTCTCGTGTTCGGATTAGAGGCCTCCACATCTCATTTCACTCCTGTTTTCGGTTATAATGCTTTTTTGTTCGTAAGTGAAATGAGAAGCGTTCAAGTCGGGCGCGCGTTGCGTGTGCGCCGCGCTAGTACCTATGGGAAGCTGGCCGGGGTCCACACTATCTCTCTCGTACGTATGCTTACCAAGTCGATCGACTTTTCATCAGACGTTGCAGATCCTCACTATATCGTTTCTGGCTTGAAAGATAGGACAAGGCAAGAGATATGTTGACAAAAGTCTTGGAGGCAACTCCAAACGATGTTGAAGTTTTGTGACTGTTACCGAAGTTTTGTGACTGTTACTGAAGCGTTGTGACTGTTACTGTTGCTTAGTCACATCACATTGCTTCCAGTATTGCTTAGCGAGATTAGGACTGACTGATAAGGCTAGGTAAGCATGTAAATGTGAAATGTTTGAGTCACATAGCTTCTTCTTTACTGTTTATGTGACTTTCAATTACAATTTGCAGAATCGCTTTTGAACGAGCGTTGGAATTGCAAAATGACAATTTTCGTGCTCTCTCAGCACTTGCCATTTTGGATTACAATACGCATACTGTCGAGGGAGCCCAAAGTGCAGTGGCTTGTCTAGGCCAAGCGTATAGTCTGGAGCCGGAGAATCCGGTTGTCTTGGTCCATCTTGCCAACCACTTCTTCTTCAAAGGAGTCAGTGCAGAAATTCTTTGAATTAATTACGAATTATCTATAAAAGGGACCTTTTAAATTTGTCCAAGCTGTTACATCGAGGTGTTTATCGCTTTATCTGAAGGCATCACTTTTTCAGGAAATGAACAAGGTTGAACGGTTAGCATGGCATGCAATGAGTATGACGGAAAGTGACGAAATCAAGGCCGAAGCTTGTTACATTCTTGCGCGGTTTGTCCATTTCAACAGAGACTATGAAAAGGCGTTCAAGGTAAGTTGCATATGCAAGAATTTCAATCCATGTCATCATCGTGTCCTAGTACTATTATCAAGCAACTACGTTGAATCATCCTACTTTCGTTTTGCCCCAGTATGGCCTTGGACCTCGGAATTCGAAGATGTTTGGATGAATATAGCTCATGTATATATCGCACTTGGACAATATGTCCCTGCTTTGCAAATGTGAGTTTATGGCGTTCCTCGCTGTTTTGTTTCATGTTGCACAGAATGCTTTTTTGATCTTTTTGTCATTTTCTTACCATGTTAAAACCATATGCTTATACTGTGGTGTTACAAGGTTCTTTTTGCAACTAGGAAATTAGTTTTTCTTTGAATATTCTTATCTCTAACGGCGCCATCTATTCCTACCGGGCTGGCTGCGCGAGCGGTTCGCGCGCGGCACCCGTACAGCGTGGAGCGCGCATTCCTTCTTATGATTGCAACGCTGGATCAGATACTCTCTCGATCCAGGCGTACTGAGGAGGACTTTCGCTCCAAAACGTATAAGAAGTCAGCTAAAGGCAAGAAGATTATATTATAGAGACATTCATTTGTCTGCCACACCATTCTCCCAAGATTACCTCTAATACCTCATTTTTCGAGGATTTCTTTGCTTTGTTGCTTAGAGGTTAATTGACTGGATACTTATTTCAACTCACTGATTTTGAGCCGCACTTGTGCTGTGTTTGTTGTTGTTAAGTCTCTTGATAACAAGAAAAACCTTTCCAAAGTCATGGGAGTAAGCTCACTTTCGCTAATAAGGTCCCATTACGACGGTGTACCAAATTTCCATATCACAAGTGAGATTACTTGCGTATGTTCTACCGTAAGGTCTAGTGGATATCTTGTCTTGTTTGTTGGAATTTGGTGCGTAAGGTTTTCGATGTAGTCACCGATGTAGTCATACAGTAGATTTTGATGCTGTCGTTGCTTGCTATACTTTACGGTTTCATAAGTGATACCGACCAGCTAGATAGATTCTTGAAGGATTGTCCATCAAGCAATACTTTGCTTTTTCACGAACGCTTCTGACACGACTTTTACGAATCCATAACGGATATATCTGTTAGAGAGTAGTTAGTGCAAAGAACACACAAACGTAAAGTTCGAAGTCATCCAGGACATTTGTTGCAGTGTCAGTTCATCTAAAGTTTGGCTAAGTTGTATATTTTGTAACAATCAGTGATTCTTATTGGTGAGCATTAGCCGTTTTCTCTTCAGCTGCGAGCAGAACTATATGAATCCAAAAAGGCGATGCTAACAAGCTACTCGAAGGTATCTTAATGGAATTTGACCAAAACCTGATGTCGAAATGTAGGCGACGCTAGCGTTCTTATACACTTTCTGACCTCCTTATCTATTCATGAAGCATTCCTGCATAATAGAATTATGTTGGCTTGATAGTGAACCTATAAGTTTGTAAGACTAGTCTTGAGGCATACTCTTACCATGGATCAGTGACCCACAACTGATGTTGACGCTTACAAGTACCTATGGATCACGAAAAGAATCGGATTCGCTATTCCAGGAAGAAGCCAATAAATCGAAATCGTTAAACGCACAACGTTCTCTAACCTTTTCATATGCAGAAAAGCAATAAGTTCCAAAAAACCGAATAGGCTCACTGAGGAGGTGTTGGGTATCTTCGACCACATACTAGTCCAAGAAGTAGCAGTAAATCAGCGCAGCGGCTACTGAAGTGGAAGCCACTTCACCAACATCGCAACGCATACATCCTTCGTTATTCTGCGATATGCGCGAGAATCTTCGTTTGCACATTTGAGCCGATGAAAAGCGCACATGACATTTTCATATCCATCCAATGCGCGCCCCAATGCTACTCACGGGTGCCGCGCGCGAACCGCCCGCGCAGCCAGCCCGGTAGGAATAGATGGCGCCATCTCTAACTCCTAGTATGGTTTTTGTAATATGAATTAACTGTTGTACGTATGCTGGAGATAGATAGATAGATTTTTCGAAAGTTTGATAAATTTGAAATAAATGTCTTATCTCTTCGTTCTTTCTTCTATCTTCTATCCACAAACGCTAGGGGTGAGAGGGAGGGGGTAGAGTACGGGTGAGGGTCGCGCTAAACTCCTACCCGGGGGGGGGTCCTATTCGGCTTATTTGGGTGGGGTTTAGAGACAAAATTGGGGTTTGGAGCTTAAAGGCAGCGTCCAGGCAAGTCTGGACCTATGGGTATTTTACATGGAAAGTACTTTTGGGGCCCTAACTAAGCCATTACCCAACCGGCAGCTCAAGTAGTGCTCTAACCGCTGAGATATTCTGCTCGAAACCGGACCCCGCGACCGTGTTTCGCATGGATTCATGGCGCAAAGCGTGGATCCTGGCGCGAAACTGCCATGAATCCATGCGAATACGTTCGCGGGGGGTCTGTTTCGAGGGGAATATCTTCGCCATTAGAGCACTACCTGAACTGCTGCTTCGGCAGTGCCTTAGTTAGGGCCCCAAAAATACTTTCCATGTAAAAGCCCCATAGGTCCAGATCTGCCTGGAAGCTGCCTTTAATTAGGGCTAATTACAGTATGCCGCGATCGGGGGGCTCCGGCGCACAAAATCGGGGGGCTCCGGAGCAGAAAATGGGAGGTATCCGGAGCAGAAAATGGGGGGTATCCGGAGCAGAAAATGGGGGGTATCCGGAGCAGAAGATGGGAGGTCTCCGGAGCAGAAAATGGGAGGGCCCCGCCGGACAAATGGGAGACCCACCGCTGGGGATACGCCGCGACCCTGCCACTTCTCCGGCGGAGGGGTCCCATCCATTGTCTGAGCGTCAACATATAGCTTCGATTGTAACGCTGGCCAACTGCGCGTGCCAAATGCCGGCAATACTAGCGCGGCTATTTATCCACGAGCAAATTTCACCTTCATCTTCCGTGCAAGCACACTATATTAAGCGGAAAATCTACTCGACTGTATGAACATATAGGTGGCGGGGCGTGCTCGTCCTTTTTGGCAAGCTTCGCCCACTCGACAAAAAATACTGGAGTTTGCCTAAATTCCAAGAATTTGTGCAAATTCCGGCAAGTCTGAAAAGTGGGTGGAGCCTGCTTAATGGGGGGGGGGGGGGCAATACCAAAACAGCTTGAGGTGTCCGCTGTCATCCGTGACCTCTTCTATGCGCTTTGAGTACGAAAAATTTTCGTGCAAAAGGCAGAGTGGGCGTAGTTTCCCGAAAAGGGGTTATGAAGTATTTCTGAGCACAAATTAAAGGCACCGTCCCCAGATTCTCGACTTCCAGGTTTTTGTCGTTTCAGGGCCTTCTCATGTCCCGTCCGAATATGAAGTCGAGAATGCGCGAAAACCCCGACAATCCCTGTTCCGGAGGACCCACAAGCCGGCTTTCCGGAACGGTGATTGGATGGGCGCGCACAAGTGGGCGGGCATGGATGGGGGTCCTCATGCATCTTCGCTATTCCGGAGAGATCTTCTCGCTTCCGAAGCGGCAATTTGCGCCGCGACTTGGGCATTGGATTGATAGGGGGCCCTACTATTACATGCTGCCAAAAGCTTAACACTCTCAACTCAGGGTGGACGGTGCCTTCAATTATATGAACACAAATTAGAACGATTAGGCACACAGAATTGGAACTAAGGGTGCCGCGCACCATTGCACGGCCTCTCGACGAGGAAAAACTGCCTGCCGCGCACCATTGCGCAGCACTGTCGTTAACATGCTGAAAACTATTCTGGCAGAAGAATTTGCCAGAATCTTAGGGCGTCTACGACATCAGCATTTTGTAAAAATTTTGGCATTTCTTAATTTCATGTTTTCATTAGTTTTTACAGAAAGTCTTAGATATATTGCTGACCTACGTTAGTAAGTTTTGGGCAGGAGCAAGGAGATTGGTCCAAGGTTCTAAAAATTCACTATTATTGGATGGATGTTCTCGAACAAACACATACCTGGATATGAGCTCATTATTTATTGGTTTTACGAATGCTTCTGTCAGCGCAATTGCAAAGAACAGGAACTTCATTGAGAGCATCCTTATTATTCTCTTCTATAATCGCATGTTCTTTATACAACGATTGACTTTCCAAGCTCATCGTGCAGACAAAGACGAACTGAGAAGGCGATGCAATGATCAAATGCATTCCGATACATTTTTGTGATCTTATAATGTTAAGAATTTCATAATATTGCTACACTGACTGAATTTTGCCATACTGTCCCCTGAAACTACGCTCATAATGATCAAGTGCTTGCACTTTGAAAGGCTTTTTATCTTTATGTGTTGCTTGAAAAGCTATTTCGTTCTTGCGTTTATTTTCCTCCCGTTGCTTTTAATCGTTTTTTTCAAAAGTTTCAAAATTTAACTCAGAAAACCGCTGCAGCGTCTACATATCGTCGCCTTCCCGGTGTACGTTGGGCGGAGCATTTGCAGACATCTGAACACTTTGGTAAACTTGTTAACCCTCTAATGTAAGGCATTGCTTTTTGTTATCTCTCGCTATCAAAAATTCCACGTGTAACAACAGCATGTATACGTGGCAGTTTAGAGAGTGCGAAGAACCATGCTGTGCAGTAGAGGTTTGACAAGTTCACCAAAGTGTTCAAATGTCTAAACGCTTCGCCCAACGTACACCGGGGATGCGACTATAGCAGTTGTTATGGAAAGGACATAACTGCACATCAAAACGACAAACTTTGAAGAATTTCTTGCTGTTGAAACATAAGCTATTCTTAGCAGGGCCCGCACGAGGCGAGTGTCAAGCTGGAAATCGTTTTCCACGGAAAAGAGGAGGATATATTGTAGATACATGTTCAAACGCGCATATCATCCCTTCAAGAAATTGGTGCACGTTTGCTTCGAAGCTCTCGCCAAAATTGGTCGTACTTTTGCGTACAAGCCTTTCCAACTCTGTTATCCTTATGCGGGACTGAATTCGCATGAATTGCTCAAAAACCCCGTCATAGACGTCGCAAAAGCAGCGCGGGCAACTTGCGTCTTTTCAATCATGCCTCTGCCACACTAGCTGAACGCCATGAATGTGGACATTAACAAAAGGCACGTGTTAAAAAGCGTTAGTGAGAAAACCGCCGAGTAATCCAGTGCCGTCCAAATCGCTCTCGGACCAATTTGAGTGCAATTTTCTCGGCGCAGAAAGGCCTTAATCAGTAGGGCTTGAAGCAATAGCCTACAGGAGGCTTCAAAGCATGCGGAGGCCGGCACTACCCCAATTTTGGTGAGACACTGTTTTTATAGTGTCAGTCAAAAAACCAAGTTTATTGCACCAAAAAAGTAATGATTCCACATCGCCACAGCTATCTGGAACGAAATGCATACCACTGAATTTGCCTTGTTGAGCTGAGCAATCTAAACTTCTCCGTCTGTTGGCGATTTTCTGGAAGAAGTTATGAGCATTTGAAGGTCCGAATCTGGCAAACATTCAGTGCCACAACTGTCAAGAAGTAGTTGTTCAGAAACACTTATATTTATCCATACCTATGTTTTCGATGATGCATCTTTAGTCAGCACGCACCTGCTAATTATGTACTCCCTAGCTGGTTTTTGAACCACATTAAGCATTAGAACTTTAACTCTCAATCAGAAATCTTTTCAGAGAAGTGCCCAGCATTATAGGAAATTTGGAATCAGCTCAGCAAGATGAATCTAATGATACTCATTTTGTTCCGAATCGCAACGATGTTAGAATCCTTCCATTATATGTGTTAGACACCGCCTCGTTTACAGCGCGCACATAACGATCTGAGAAGTTTGACATATAAATGGAAAGGGCTAAGAAGAGTATAACGCATTAAATCGTGGAAAATTTAATTGATTTTGGAGAATTTATAACGGAAGAGGAAACGATATGACTCGAAACCGTGATATACATAGATGGGAATAAGAACAAGTTATGAATTTATGTGCAAAACTTGTCTAAAGGAAAGCGTGCCCAACAACCTTCAATATTGGGGAGGCGATTGCCAAACTAACGCCAACCCGAGGGTACGAAACCCGACGTATTTTTGACAGAAAGTGCCGCGATAGAGCTGTGTCTTTACCTGGGAATAGTTTAAAGAAGCTTAACGGATTGAACTTTCGATATTATAACATTCCACAATCGCAAGCTGTCAAGCGATTAACAATGAAGGTACAGCTACAGCTAATCTTGTCAAATGGTGTAGCACTCATTTTACTGCTGTTATCATTGAGTACTTATCAGATTGCATTAACGTTTCTTTAGTATGTTGAAAATCACGTTAAGACCCTATCAGTCAGCGATTTTTTGCTTATCTCTGAAACCAAGCAGAAGCACAGCTTCATACCAGGGCCTAGCACGAGGTTGCATGAAAGAAAATGAAAAGCGAACTACTGCAGAAAAAATTACGGCATAGCTTTTGTAGTGTGTAGAAGCTCTTCCAATAATTTGCAACGAGAAAAAAGTGAATTGAAGTAAAGAAATGACAAGAATAAATCAAAGATTGGAGGGAGAAATGCGAAAAAGGCGTTTATATCATCAAGAAGCGCAAGAAAGCCTAAAGGAGAGAAAGGGTTAAAGTGGTATACTCATAAGTATGGATTGATCTAGAGAAAATTTTTGTGGTAAAGGGGGAGAATTGTGAAGGTTTGACTTGTTCTGTTATTGCTAAATCTCAGGGTGTTCCCCTATTGCGCGGAAGCAACTTTAAATCGAGCACTTACAACTTCCCTCGTTCACATAATTTTTGCCTAAAATTTCGTACTTTTCTTTCGATCATCGCCGCGGATGTACACACCAAATTTGGTGGCTTGCCATTGCTTACTCGTTTCAAACAAATCGATTGTTTATACATTGGTGCTTAGAGAATGCGTTCTGACACGCTAAATTCGTGCGCACAAAGATATGCACTGGTCGTGTTTGTAACACTTTAGTTACCTGTAACTGGTAAAATTACGCTAGAATTTCAAATTCGGGCTCGACAAGAGTTAGTCTTTCTGTTATCTCGTCAGATTTTCGCGTGGAAACTTTTCAAGTTTTCATCTGCTTTCCCTTCAAAAACGACAACTAGCTTGTGAAAGCGCCACTTCTGCTGAGCCCTAGTTCAGATCAAAGGGCACTATGTCATTTCACGTCACGTAGCAAACTATCGGCTTTAGTTTTTTCTCTGTGTGTTTTGAAAGATTTATTTCTCCTTATCACTTCCTTTTTTATGTTCGATGATAGGAGTCATTCGTCTTTCTTTGACAATGGTTTTCTCTGGTTACATTCTTACGAGAACCCGCCACTCTGCAAGCTTCCTGATGAAATTACCTACATGTACAACATAGCTCATGAGGGAGAAATCTCATAGAACATCGACGAATAATGAGAAAATCAAGTAACGAGATTCAGCCGTTTCGTACGTATTGACGAAAGAAGCAACTAATCGTTGTTGAATAATTTGACAAAAATTTGCAGCACATAAGCATTATCAACTAGTGCTTGTCGCGAAGGAAAAACTGTTCCTCAGCTCAAACATTTCTCTAAATTTCTTGAACGCTGGTAGCAACATGGCTTCAAAGCAATGCGGGATCGAACGATGGAAGAGAATGAAGCAAGCATGAGAAGAGAAGTTTACTCGAGTTAGGATGTTGATGCTTACATTTTGAACTGTAAAGTACAGTGGGCAAAGAACATTCAAAGAGTTTCGAGGAAAGGATAAGTTAGGCCAAATTCTTTTGCCGTTTAGTTCGGATCTGCCATGTTCCTTGTTAGCATCTTATAAAGTGCAATTCATATTTATATGAACTCAGATTTTGGAAGTTTTCAAGGAAGAGGCTTTTTGGAAGCAACTTAAATCATTGGTAGTGCGCAAATAAACATAACCGAAAACGGTATACGCCAGAAAAAATGATAATCGATGTCGACTTGAAGAATGGTCTTGCGCAGAATGCGTTGCAGTTCAGAAGTATTCGAACAAATTTTTTTCTCCATTCAAAACTACAACCTTTCAGGTCAAAATTCTGTAAAGTTTTACGGTAACAAAGTTTGCTACAAGCGCAGCTCAAAAATAGGAGCGTCACTCTTCATGGATGGCTCAAAATGTAAGTTAGTTCAGTCAGCATAGTCGTTGCACAGTCCTTATAGCAGCCGGCTAACGTCCTCACGTAAGCTCCTTTCCTTAATCGACTAGCGCAGACAGGATGGCGTTGGTTTCGATGCTGTCAAAGGCTTTCTCGTAGTCGACAAAGGTTAGGACGAGAGGCAGTCGGTACTCCCGGCAGACTTCTATGACCCTCGAAACCATCTGCATGTGGTCCATGCAGCTGAATCCTTTGCGAAATCCAGCTAATTCTTGGGGTTGGGCTTCAACCAGTGTCTTAGATATGCGAGCGAAAATAATCTTCGTGAAAAGCTTGTACAGCACACTCAGCAGGCATATTGGACGATAGTTTCAAAAATCCTATTGTTCACTTCTTTAAGAGAAGGACGGTTCCTGACTTTCTCCGCTGGTCGGGAATCCTCTTCCAAGGTAAGATGTCAGGTGCAACGCGAGAATCTCGCGTTGTCCTCCGGCTAGCAGAAATTCGACGGAAAGGTGGTTTCGTCCTGGAGTCGTGGACGTCTTCATGGTCTAAATCGCCGTGCGCACTTCAGCAGGTAGAAGTCGTAATGGTACTTCTCCAGTGGGAACAACGGGCATCGGCACGGGTGTTGATGAGAGGAAGAAGTTGATGTAGAAGTTCTTCGCGATAGATTCCATCTTGTATCGGGAAAAAGTCGCCACAAGATCTTATATGAGTTTAAATGTTCGAATTTTCAAATATTCAGTATATAGCCGCTGTATGTATGCATTCCTTCTATTCAGTACACCCGGCACATTCTGATCAGCTCTGCCAGCTGATTTTTGAATTATGCGTTAGAACTCTGGAACTTCACACTTTTTATCGCCCGTAACTTTTTCCAGAGAACTCGCGCAGAGAGATAGAATTGGAATCAGCGTGAAAGACGAATCTAATGGTACGCATTTCATTCCAGACCTGGAATCCTTTCGTGGTCAGTCTACAAGCCTGGCATCGTAAGTACTCACAAGGG